TCAATTCATATAATGAATATTTTCAAGAAGTCTCACCCTGAAAGTAACACAAATAGCTATCTGCCCCAGAGGTTATAATAATTTTATGGGAGGTTTTACATGTATGGTGTAGCTCTTTAACAGGATGAGGGAAACACTTACTAAATTTGTGCAAATTAAGCCCCCAAACGACCGTATTTAGCCACCCATACATGCATGCAGTCATTTCAATAATATATAGTTCCCCTCTAGAAAACTAGATCGCTGCAAACCATGAAGCATACCCATATTCCTCTAAAAGTCTTAACAAACTAATGAAGTAGGCAAGTTCGACCTGATGTGGGAGTACAAAATAACCATATCATCCCTACAATCAACATAATTACATTGCAACAACTGAATGTCTAATCAAAAGCCCAAAAATCTACATATATATATATATATGAGCAATGATTTCATGCAACCGTTGTATAGTAATATGATGCAACAACCTTAAAAACCATCTTATGACCATTTGTTTGATCTAAATTTTGAAATATACACTCTTTTCATTCTAATGATCAATCACAAAAAAATAAAAAATTGAAAACACAACCTAGAAAGTATTTTTTTAGCCCAATTAACATAAGCCGTTCATTTTGGTAAGATGCTTAGATCTAGGCATTAGAAGGATTTTTTTCACTTACAATTTTTTCGGATGGCTTTATTATCATTAGATGAGCAATGTTAAAAAAGAAAAAAATTACTTTAAGTTTATAAAGGCTAAGATCTTGAAACTCACAAAATGAATGGTCTAGATTCGTTTTTGGAGGGGACTCATTTGACCATATCTAGGGTTCAAATTGAACTTTTGTTTTTGGGGGGGGGATTGATTATTGAGATGAAGAGAGTGTGTGTGTAAAATTTGGGGTCATACAAATACCACAAACATGGTTTTCTAGAAGTGTCCTTTCATTATACTATGATACAACCGAATTGGATCATGATATATATATATATATATTATGCTTGATGATGATCAATCCAATATAAAACAAAAGAGTGAACTATTCCACAAAGGGCGCTACTTAATTTATCTAGCATCATCATCAGCTACTTATCTAACATCATCACATAATATAATCCAACATGCACATACAATCCATTACTGACATTGCTAGTGTGAAAATATACAAATGAAAATTGATGTAGGCAAGAGGGACAAATAAAAACAACAAAAAAAAAATATGACAGAATATGCCCTATCTTTGGTTCTACAAGGGAGTTCACCCCGAAGGTTGAGAGATTTGACTATCTCCAGATCTGCAAGGGAGTCACCACAAAAAGATATTTTCATAATAGCTCACATATTTACAAGAAAAGAAAATCATAAAAATCTCTGTGATAAAAAAAAATATCAACAAACTAAATGACCTAAAAACCCCAAAAATTTTACAAAACTTAAAGACCAAACAAACCCCATTATTTCCTAAGAAATAAACTCTAACCGCAAAGAAAACACCAAACTACATCATTTGGAAGAATTCAAGAATTTCCCTTACTCAAAAATTTTCCTTAATCACGAGAGGGATTCCTCTTTGTTCTAACCATAGTTGATGGAAAAGGGAATGTTCCAAGAGCATTTTAGGAATCACGAGACTATGGCAATAAGCACCATCTATAGAACGCATATCTCAAGAATCGAGATTCCTACCATTTGGGGGTCACACCCCCAATCTCTTGGAACCACACAAGTAATTATCAAGGAACGAGTACTTTAAGGTCAAAGGTTCAGGTTCTAGAGCATCTTTAACCAATAATCCATGTGTATTAGCATTGATGTATTGAATATGCTTAGCCAGGGTTCCCCTAGTATTGGAATTGAGGTCCTTGATCACAATAAACAAGTTTCCCCTGGTATTGGAATCGATGTATTGAGTGCTCTTTATAGTGGTACCCCACAAGAATTGGAATCAAGGCAAGTTCCCTTAACTAGGGTTCCATACGTACTAGACTTGAGGTTTACTAGAGTTTCTATATTGGATTGGACAAAGAAAGTATGATTGATTTCTTAATAGTGAAGTTAGAAGAATAAGATTTATTTTGGGTTACAGACTTTAGGAATGATGTTCAGTAGACTCTCCAGACACCCAGCCTAATGCTAAGTAGAGTTTCTGGACACCCAGTTTCTGGACACCCATCCTCAATAAATAAATAAAAATAATTTATATATTAATTAATAGTTAATTTTAAAGAACATAATGTTTAAAGGATTCCAAGAATTCAATAATATTTTTGCAGTCATTCTACTACTTGACAATAATGAAGTTTATCTTCTTTCGAATAATATTTAACAAATTCCAAGCATTTCATCATATTTTTGCAATCATTCTACTACTATGGAATAATGAAGTTTATCTTGAACCTGAGACTTGTTAAAGGGTGCTACCATGGACCTCTTTCGTGTTTGGATCCAAATAACTCGGATACATGTCCCTTATAAGTAGAAGCAAGATTCCATGTTGATCAAATCAACGGTTAGGCACACTTATAGACCTTAGGATTTGATGCTCTAGAATCTGAATTCCACATAACTCAATTCGAGATTCCAAAATGGTGGAAGTGAGGTTCCTAAATTTGAAGTACCAGATTCTATGAAGATTAAATGGTCAAAGAGCCAAAGCGAGATTTTGAAGCAGAATAGCCACATGGAGTGAAAGATTCCAGTAACTATGGTTCCAACTAAAATCCATCGCCCTTATCCTATCGAACTTTTGATTGTTGAACTTAATCCAACAAAATTGCGATATGCCAATGAAGCCATGTAATCCTGTGAGATTGAAAGCTTGTTGTCTCCACCACTTGTACTTCATACCTTACAACTAGTCCAACTTTGGCAGCTTGCATGGGCATTTGATTAATGCTTGTATTAGATGCCAATTTTTTATCTTCCTTTTCTGCAGATTCTGTTCCACATGTTGCACTATTATGATGAGTTGTTCTTGTATCACTTGTTGCATTAATTTGCCAGGGTTTTCTTCTAGCTCTAATTGGCTTTCTCTCAAATATTTGGTCCATATGCTCGAAAAATAGATGAATAGATGTTTTGATGGCGTTGCTTTATAGATCTCAGGCTCCAATACCACTTGATTAAGGGAATAGGGAGCAAGAAAAATATACACCATCTCTCTGGGTTTGCAAAAGAATCCACCCCAAAGGTTGAGAGATTTGACCACCCCAAAGGTTGAGAGATTTGACCCTTTCTCTAGGTCTACAAGAGAGTCCATCCCAGAGAGATTTTGTCACAAGACTCAAAAATCAATTCTTCTTCTCTCTCTTCTTTACAACATATCATATATAAGCAAAGGAAAACATATAACCCTAAAAATCCCTATAAAAGAAAAGACATAGTTTCCCTTAAAATATCTAACAATACTAAATGAGCTAAATAAAAAGATCAAACCAATTGCATTGTCTTCTAACAAATAAAACCTAACCACATGGAAAAAAAAAAGAGTCTAACTGTCTAACTACATTAAAAATAGACAATTAATGCACCATGAAATATGTATCTACCATTACACTACTCCTTAATTTCACCTTAATCACAAAGAAGCAAATAGATATGCATATAAACCAATTGGGGGTAAATCCACAAAGGCCGACGAATTATCATGACATGGTCTATTGCTACATAGGCAGCCAAACATTGCTTTCCACCACAAGGGCAGCCAAATTATCCAATGAATAAACCACCTCCATTCACAAAACACTCTTAAGTATTCACTAGCCATATCAATGGAAACATACAAAAACTGAGTGCCTAGTGAGACACCCAACCAACTTTGGGTAGTTCACTTAAAACACCTTATGCATTCCACACGTACAATGAAAATGTCAACCCTGAAATAATGTAGCAAACTAGAACTTGTAGCTCAGTATTGATTTAGTATTTAATATTATCAAGGAAGTGAAGAGTAGGATCAAGAGCTGCCATAGCACTATCACATATGGAGAGTTCACAAGGTCTCCTCACCCCTTTGACATCAGCAAAATTTCCAATTTGTGTAAATCGTTTATTATACAAATGGACATGCATGAAATGGAATTGGAGGTGATCGTTGATGTGATGAATTGTAACCTAGCTAATCTCATTGTCCATAGAAGGAGGAAAAGAACCAAACCTGATATGAATGGCAGACAGAATGTAATCAAATTTTTCAATAGACAAACAAGACCCTACACAACTTTGCAAACCTTCTTCATAGGACTCAGCGTTCTAAAGCTAATCATGGCCCCAAGGGTGTTGGTTAGAGGTGTATCTACACTTAAAACGCCACGGAATAAATTGTCAACAATGGTATAGGCCTATGCAATATTGGTAGAGGTGTGAATTTTTTCAGGGCTTTGCCTAGTTGTTATCATTAGGGGTGACTGACCCAATATCATGGTATAGCTAAAAGAGACAGAACTATTCTTAAGTCTGTAAGCAGTTTTTGCAAAGATTTCTGACTTTTTATCCTTTTTACGAAGGATCAAAGCTCTACATAAGCCTAAGAAGGCTATGTTGGGGATCCAGTAGGTGTAACTAACTTTTCTGTACCTAGGGAAGGTTTTGGGCACCATCTGAACATTATTGCTATCCTTTCGTTCCTTGTGTTTTCTACATAAAGACATGGAATTGAGGAACATACAATTGCGAACATGATTACCACAAGAGTCTTTGAGGAATCCATCACACTCTTATGTTATTAAAGAGCCTTCAAGTACTATGGTCTACAGTATTAATTCATCAACTCATTTCCCTAATATCCAAAATCCTGATGAAAATGTCTCGCAATTTCAAAATGCAAAATAAGTAAAAAAGCACATTGCAATGATAAAAATTGGACTCATCAATAATGGAATTGAGGAACACGCCTTTTAAACCATAGAAAAAGAGTAGTGTACAGCACAACCAGTTAAAAATATAACTATGACCAAAATGTATAATAAAGCTACTTAAACATCAATAACAATACAGAAACAAAGCAGCACCATACCTGTGAAAATGAAATCTCGAGACCGCGAGCCGTATCAACGTAGAGATGTCTCCCTAAGATATTGACTTGAACTCTTATATATAAGTTAAGTATGGTCGTTGCCCAAAGTGATGATGCTGTTCTTGTGAAACCTAAACATTCATAAAACCCAGACCCCGATTTTCAAGGGAGAAAGCAAAGAAATCTAGCCACCATCTCCTAATTTTACTATACCTAATGATGAGCTTCCAAGATGGTCTAGAAAGGAAACATACACGTAGTAATCCTAAGTAGAGAGCCGATAGCCCGATAAGCATTACTTACTAAGAATTTTGAGTCTTTCCCATAATTCGAGCTTTTCCTGAGAAGTGAGAATATTGGGTTGCCCCTTCCCATGCATCAATCTCTCCATCAACTGAGAAAAGTCCAACTCTTCAAAAAGGCGAGACCTCAAATTACGCAGCACATAAGGTAGAGTTGCGGAATCAGAAATTCTCTGAATATTTTCGAAATGGAGCTGCAACCTACAAACCCATAACCAAACTCTCACTGTAATGAAAACAAATAAAAAAATAAGAAACCATATTCTCTCTGAAAGTAACATATTCTACAAGCCCAAATAGGTAGGGAAAATTAATCATACTGGGCCTTGATGTGTTCATCTGCTTCTCTTTGGCCTTCAAATTCTCTCTCTAGAGCATCAAGCCTCTCTTTATGAGCAAAATAAAGCCTATAAAAAGCATACCCACTTCCTACAATCCCCACTGTGACAAAAACCTTTCTTCTATGTCTCCTCCAAAAGTCCCTAATTTGTGTAAAACCAGAAACCCACAAATATATAAGCAATGTAACAGGGCTTGTACAATCACCCTACAATGACCCACAAAATGAAAGCCACAAAGGGGCCAAATTTACCTCAAAGAGAGCATCATTTCATAAAACAAGCACAGCGGCTACATGCTCCAATCAAAAAACACAGACTTTCATGGACAAAATTGCATTACCCCAACAAAAATTCAGATGAGATAGAGAGAGAGTCCAACTGAAGCGCTTGTTTGGAAGCCCAGAGACGTCAGGCTCTTATTAATGAGAGAGAAAACAAGGGAGGGGATATGGCGCTGCACAACTTAAACCGAAGCTTTCTCATTTTCTCTCTCATCTGCATGTCTCTCTCTTTTTCGGCTTGTTTCCAACCAGACTCCTCCTGGGGTTTCCTTCCTCTCAATCACTCGCACATCGTTTTTCTCTGTTTCTCATACAGAGTATTGGTATTATTCTGATTAGATATTTTCCCATTTATTTTAGTACCGGTTGGTTAAATCTTACCCCAAAAATAATAATAATAACCATGACAGTGAGGGGAGTTTTTTTGAGGTAAAGCGAAGGGAGTTGTTTTTATAGAAGAAGCCAAGGAGGACAAAGTTGGAATAACTGAGACCGGATGGAGACCCAGCCTAGGACTAACCGACCTGACTTACCCTATATTTTGACTCTCTTTTTTTTTTTTTTTTTTTTACTCTCTCTCCGGGGGATTGGTTTAAAAAACGGATCGGTGATCCTGATCGGGCTTCCAAAAAACCGATCTTGATCGGCG